TTGGAAATATTAGCTTATAAATAGATTGATAATGTTATAGTTATGATTATATTTAAAATTATAAATTTATATTTATAATGTGATATTAAATAAATATAATATAATATTAAATAAATAAACGTATATAATATTATAAGTAAATATTTAAATAAAAAAATTTAATTATATAATGACATTTTATACTATACACTTATTGTAACATTTTTAATAGTGATTTCAAATTGATATCAATTATTATATTAGCTATTAACTTATTGTTATAGCTATTAGCTGTTATATCATGATAACTAAACTACATAGAACTTTTTCTTTTAAGATATGTAGAACTATAGATGGGTTATACGTTATTTTTTTAACATCTTTCTTTACCCATTTTAATATTTGAACACAATATTTCTTTAAAAAGTTCAAAACTTTAATCATTAAAACATTGATAACAAACTACTTCAACATAATATCGTATGCTCCATATGGAACCAAAAAATTATAATTCTTCTTTTGTGTTTTGCTCTGTCAGGATCCGAGATGTCCAAGAACAATTAAACAAAATCTCTGAACTTATATGGAATAGGGTTGGACGATCTCTGGACTGCCAAAATAGAGCCAAACATCTTGGACACATACGCTTAAAATGAATCTCAGATCCGTTACCGTTATTATTAAATGAGTGGTTCCATAGGGCAGTGACCCTAAATCCTGATGGCACCTAAAATCTAGCAAATTTCCCTCTCTTTCGGCCACAAAAAAGGGACACTACTTGGGGCCTAAAAGTCATTCGCAGAGCTCGAATAAGCTACACGATGGTAATCACGATTCCCCAAAGCCCCAAAATTTGTAGGGCATGTGCCCTATTCAGGACCACAGTATGTATTCTGCTTTTTCTTTTGATGTTTTGCTCGTAGTGTAACTTTGTCATCGTTTCAACGACAAAATAAGTGTGTTGTATGCTTAATTTCATTCTTACCATGGATTCTGAATATATATATACACACACACACCATTTGGATCAGATTCAGAAGTTCAATGTCATTAATGTCAAGATTTGTATTGAGTTTTAGCATTTGTTTTATTGTCTGCTTTCGATATGTGTATCTCTTTAGAAAAGACTTTCATTGGCAGCCTCTGCTTATAAACCACAAATGTCCTTAACTACCATTCAATATGAATCTTCAATACTCCATCATTAGGCATAATAACTTGTTTAGAAATGATAAAGATTGCCTCCCCGTACGTGGAAGTTGGATCACGAATTGTCTTCTTTTTTTTTTTTTCTTCGTTTGATTTTCAAAGTAATCTTAGAAGGCAGGAAATAGAGAAGATAAAGTTTGGCATATCTAGCTTAGAAGTTGACAACAAAAATGACCCATTTTCATTGGATACTCATCTTGTGATGGACTATTCCACTGTTAGTTTTCTGCTGTGTGTCTGCAACAAATTAAACCTGACCCTGCCAAGCCTAAATACAATTACACCACTCACGCACGTAATGTGCTTTCCATGCCAACTCTCCTTCCGACCAGTTTGGTAAAATCTTAGTACAGTGGGCCTAGACATAGTTAAGTTTTTATCAGATCTTCATTAGTTTTATGCTCGAATCTCTTAATTTTTTTGAAATGAGAACATAAATTAATGCTATATACTTACAATGAATTTTTACAAAATTAGCTAATCAAATGAATTGCTACCTAATCTTGTAATGTTAATATATGTTGCATTGATAATTTGAATCTACAACATTTCAGGAGCTACACTTATTTTCTTAACTAATGAATTAATTAAAGTTCTAGTTATTCACTCTATTACAGATATGTACTGCAAAGGTTATTAATGTGGTCTATTCTCAGGTTGTCTATATTAGGGTGAAAATCAAGGCATATTTGGCTTGGTTCATTGAATAAGTTTTAGCAAGGTTTGAGTCCCCAAAACTTTCTTGTACTTTAGTCATTTGGATTGAACATATATAT